TGGGTTTGGGATGCAGATCCAGAGGGGATGAGCACCCATGGGTGATGCTGGGGTGGGTTTGGGGTGCTGATACTGGATCCAGCTTTCTTTGGGGAGGGTTTGGGATGCAGCTGCTGGACCCAGCTCTCTTTGGGATGGGTTTGGGATGCTGATACTGGACCCAGCATCTCTTTGGGGTGGGTTTGGGATGCTGATACTGGACCCAGCATCTCTTTGGGATGAATTTGGGATGCAGATCCAGGGGAATGAGCATCCCTAGATGCCCTTTGGGGCTGAAGAAGCCAGAGGGGCTCAGCACCCTGGAGTGCTGCTGGGGTTTGGACCCAGCACGGATCCATCCCACGTCCCCATTGGGGTCTGATGAGGGACAAGCAGGGCCCCCCACCCCCGTGCCGTGCCGTGCCGTTCTCACCTGTGCGGGCAGGTGCCGGTGGTGGCGGTGGCCGGCGCTGGAGCGGTGGCAGCCCGGGCAGGCACCGCTATTTGAAGGGCTCGGTGACAGTGACGTCGGCCTGGCCACCGTTCCCACGGGGGACCGGGACCTCGCTGATGGCATCGGCCTCCCCGTGCCAGCGTCCAGCGCCTCCTTCCCCCAAAATCCCCTTGGCACTGACAGTGCCCTGACACCGCTTTTCGGGGTTTCTGCCACGCTGACCCCATTGTAGCTGGGGACCTCCCAGCACGGGCTCCTTTCCCATTTCCTGGGAAAGGGATGGATCCAGAGGGTCCCTCTGCAGCTCCAGGGATGCTCTTGTTGGAAGGAGGGAAGCAAATTCCCTGTGCCTCAGTTTCCCTACCCCACTGCAGCCCCCACTTCCCCAGTTCTCTCCCCACTTCAAATGTGGCACCCCCAAAACGGGGCTGGGTGCTGGCAATGGCCATGGAGCCCGAAGCTCCCAGCCCAGGGGATGTGACAGAGCTCAGGAAGGGGATTTAGGCAGGATCTGGCCCTGGATTATCTCCAGCAGCTGCTCATCTCTCTGATATTTGCACTTGGATGCAGGATGGGGCCAGGGCAGATGCTGTGGCAAAAGCTCAGGGCAGCTGCCCAGATCCCAAAATTTCCCCAAGCCCCCTGAGATCCTGGGAATGAAGGAAAAAAGGGGGAAAAACTCATGAAGAGCACCAGGGAGCAGCCAGCACCCACTAGGCCAGTGGGATGGAGGGACCTGTTGGGGTGGTCCATATTCCTGGGTGGAACATCTGTGGGGACAAATGAAACCCTTCTGTACAAGGGTCCCCATTTCTTTGGGGTCACCACATTTACTTCTGAGTGTGACTGACGGCCTTGGCCCAAAGCCCCCAAAATTTAGGGGGTGGAATTTATTAGCACTGGGATGATGTTGGGGCTCATGAGGGGTACCAGAGGTGATGGAGTGGGGATGATGGCAGCAGCAAAGCAACTTTTGGGGCTGTTTTGTGTAGCTGAGGGTGTCCCTTTGCCTGTGTGCCTCCACTGAACCTCCCTGTGACTCCTGCCTGGATGGAAAAAGCTGAAAAAATGGAATATTCTGACTGATGGCTGTTTTACCCAGAATTTCCTAGATTTCAACCCCATAACCTGAGTCTAGGACATCCCTAGGCACAGCTGACAATATCCCTGGGCCCTGCCACCCACCCTGTGCTCCCCATCACTGTTTGGAGGCCCTGGCACAGGGTGCCCAGAGCAGCTGTGGCTGCCCCTGGACCCCTGGGAATGTCCAAGGCCAGGTTGGACAGGGCTTGGAGCAGCCTGGGCCAGTGGAAAGTGTTCCTCCCTGCTCTACAATCCAGCTTCAAACACACAGACCCTTCCTTCAGGGAGCAAAAATCCTTTTGTTTTTCTGGAGTTTGCTTTTTTGGGGTTGAAATCCCAACATTTGGGCACTGCTGTGTGGCAAGTAAAGTTTCCAAACCAGCACCACATGTTGGCCTGAACCTGAGGGGGGCAAGTTTTTAGCTTTTGGTACAAAAATGAGGGTATTCACATATAAACGCACACACAGAATGAGCTTTTTTTTTTCTCCTTATTTTTTTTTTTAAGAGCTGACCGGCAGAAAAATGTGAAACCATTTCCCTGCAGGTTTGGAAAAGCTTGTTGCTGGTGGGGTTGGAGGGGGAGTTTGGGTTTTGTTTTCAGATGAGATCCAGGATTATCTTTCTTTCCTTTT